AGGTGGCGTCCGACCTACACTTTGGTAAGACTTCCCTCACCTCCAAATTCTGGTATTGACAGCTGCTCCCAAGGTCTACTTCTGCCGCGAGGAGAACTGGGGGCCCCCTTGCTTTGTGTATTACCCGACGCTTAACTACACATGCTCTCAGCTTGGCCCCAATCTGGCTGGCCATCGGCTCGTGCCTCGTCTGAATACAGTAAAGAGCTAAAGAGCTATTAGCTTTATACATGCCGTGATCTTAGGATAGCAACAAACCCATTTTAAATTCACTGTGCCAGCTGTTGGTCACCCGCATCCCCGCCTCACGACACATTCCATGAACTCGTTGCTGGTCGTATTTATAGGATGTAAAGCAATCCACGGTGGTTCCCTTTGTATATGTATGGCCAAAATGAACGTCCTCCTTGGCAACGAACATAAACACATGGCAAAGGCCCGCTGAGTCTTCTCTGAAAGAACATCTTAAGTCCCACTTGTCCTTACTAAAGACATCCTTTCCAGCTATTCTGGGTGGCTCTTCAGATAGAATCCTTATGCGCCGCGAAGACAGATAAAGCCATTCGCCTGGCCTTGAAGGACCTCCCAAAAGATCTTCTAGAAACATTTTCTTGTATTCTGCAGAGATTAGGAGAGTTAGGAAAGCTCTCCCTGATCTTCCCAAGTACGGAGTTGATGGCCAATTTTTTCTACTTTTTTACATGTTAGAAAGCGTGGAGTGGGAGATGGGCTCCCATATTCTACGAAAGGGTGTGCTGGGCTCGACCTCGTGATTTCCGGCAGCTTAAGCGCTATAAGGAGAATGCTTGGAACACCTGACTCCTAAACCAAAGCTCATTCATTCTCCAGTCTCCAGAATAACACCTATCGTTGTTAATGGGGCCCTCTAGTTAGGGACAGTAGGCGCCACGGTAGGGGCTATTGTATGGGGTTTGAAGGGCTAGAATTGGATTGCTTGATGGTATTTGATTGCTTATTTTTGGGATCAAGATATATAAGAGTCATCGGTTATGCTCCTTGGGGTGTGTTCTCATGCAGTTCCATGACCAAATATATGCCCGAACCCTATTGTAGTCAGATAATGGCAGCCTTGCCCACATCCCTCTACCGTCCATAACTACAGTCTTGTAACCTCCCCAGAGACAATTTCAACTCCCTGCAGGCGCTCTATCGCCAGATTCAATGTGTTGACCCGAGACATATACACTCCAGGTTTCTTTACTATTCCCCGCAGCTGATCGAAAGCCGCTTCTAGGTCGGAATATCCATGGACAGACCGCATGTATATAGTGCGCGCCGACTCACGATTAAATCCCCTGCCAACGGCACGTCTGCATCCATCATAAGGGCAAAGAAAAGACTGTCCCGTGTGGGACTCATCTATATGTCGTTTAACACTTGAGGCTCGCTTGTATCGCTTGGAGCAGCAAGGACAATATGAGAATCCGTCCTTGTCAGGATAGATATTCTTATACAGCTAATAAATGTCACTACTGGAAAGCCCGGTCGACCCGCCAATAGGACTCTGTAGAGAGTCGGGTGTGCTGGTGACAGATGAAAGAATCGATAAACCTCGGTGACCTGGATGAAAAGGGTGTTTTTGAGTATGGCTCTCGACGTTCTCATCCATTACTAGATGGTTTCTGGTGGGCGGTTCAAGGGAGCCAGTGTCGTTTATCGAACAGTTGGTGACTAGGGGTTGCATGTCCGATAAAATCTCGACTGCTGTTGGCATCTTCTCAGTCACGGTGGCCTCCTCAGTTGCAGATTGGTCTTCAGATAGGGAGAACCGCCCTGTTGGTGCGCAATCCACCACAGTTGGCTGTCTCGATCTGGACTCTCGCTCGTGAGAAGGTTCGGTCGCATTCTCTGCAGAGCTAAAAGCCGAGGTAGACACTAATACTTCATCAGATTGGCTTCCATTGTCACCGCACTCTTGGGTCTCGTATGCTGCGTAGTAATAGCCAGCAAATGCGTCGTCTTTCCGAGGAACATGACGGTTCCTAATGAAGGTGCGTACCGAGTCGTAATATGGGATGAGGGAGGCTTGAGAACCCTCAAAGTTAAAGTCCTAAAGGTCTTTAGCAGCAACCCAGCCAAGCGTACTGTTGTCGAGAACTCTCGCTCCCTCGAAGAATATAACTGGAAACTATCAGTCTGCGGCGAGGGGTCTATCATTCTTATACCCATTCTTCCAACTAACTTACCCTATATACTTATTGCAATCATAGCAGGCTGGTATTGACTCAGTAAGCCCGAACTTCTTAATATCTTCAAAAGGTAGAACAAACACCGCAAACCAACTCTTCAACATCAGCCAATATACTATATATATTTTGTTAGGGATGGGTTTTATAAAGGCATTCAAAGCGCTTTGTTGGCAAGGACTGGTTCGCAATGTAGGTTTGCTGCTCTGGTTATAAGGAGTTCGCCGTCTACTTCTATAATAAGCTTTTTAGTCTATAGTTTGCTTGTCAACCTAGAGAGATTAGAAAATAACCCACATTAACTATACTAATAAGAAACTTACCTTCTTTATATATATAACTAAGTCTCCTTTAGGCCCCTTAGTAAAAGCAAGAACTTCATGTATTTTAGGCATTTTCTATCTGTTATTTTATTCTAATAGCTCTTGCATAATATCCTTTATAAATTCCACTGCTGCAGGTTGCTTTAGACTATTTATTATATCCTCATAGATATTTTAAACAAGATTTCTACAGAGCACCTAAATAGAAGCTTATAGCTAATAATTACAAGGCTTCCCTGCCTTATTAATAAATTATTCATAGAGGATCTTCAATTCCTTTAGCTTTCCCTTACACCTTAAAATAGTATCTTGCAAGCCATTTAGACGCAAAGAACTATAAGTAGATTCATCAGATAGCAGCATCTTAGTAAAGAGTAGATCGGCTGGTTTAGATATACTAGATTGGTAGTAGGTAGCTTAGCCTACTTACTTTACTTTAATACCAGCTGTAACTCTAAGAAAGTATATCTGCCAGCAGCAATATACATAAGAATATTAGCTACTCCTTATTTAGTATCTAAACTTACACCCTTGTAAGGAATTTTCTAACAATTTCCAGGTAGCTAATTTTAATATACAGCCATCTAATTATATATCCCTTGCTTCGGTTACTTAAGTTACCTAATTATAAGTATAAAGCTATCTAATTATTATAATATTTATTTAGTTATCTTAGCTATTTAATTGTAAATAAAAGTATTTTAGGACTATTTAGCTACTATTATTTTCATCTAGCTTATCCAAATATCATCACTACTACTAAATTACTTCAATTACATTTGCCACAATCTTAATTCTGGCCTTCTACCTGTTAATACTATATATCTAATCTAAGGACTCTCAATAAGAATCCGTTATATACCAGTAGAGTTAACATACTACCTGCCAAGTTTAAGAAGGCATTTTACGTTAAAGATCAATTTATTATTATTAGAGACTTCGTTCAACTTGCTATGCTAGTGTGCTGCCTTCTTATCTCGATTGCTGCCTTTATTTTCTACGCAGAGAGCAGCCAAGCTTGCCTTAGCTGCAAAGATTAAGTTCCGCGCAATTTAAGCATCAAAACCCTTAAGAGCTATCTATAGAAAGTTAGCTGCCAGTACTGCATGTAACTTTTCTAAGGGATGGGTACTGCAACTAAATGGGCGTTGTTAGTATGCTATAAACTGATATTGCTATTGCTATTGCTATTGCTATAGCTCTGGCATATATCTCCATATTGTGGCGCTTCTCCCATCCTATAGACTGCGCTTAAAATACTAAGCTCTCTAGGGGCTTAGCTTCCCAGACAATAACTAATGGCATTCCACTGCCAACTTCAATCTACCTCACCAAGCCAATCCGCATTTCAATATCAGGTAACTCGCCGACTTCCTACGATCTGCCACCTCTGAATGCTATTATATTGCATAACGCCCCCTCTCTTCCCAACTTTTATGCTGTTCTTAAATTGATATCAATACCGCTATATGGATTTACCGTGACTATAGATTGTGGCGTTCGCATAAATGCGACCTACTGAAAGATAGCACCAGAAAAAAGGCCAGTTATTAACTGGCTATCATTGTCCGAGCAAAGATACAGGCCGCGAAGGACTCGGCCTGCGGATTGGAGGTCTCCCATATCACCATCGTCGCTCGGCAGATATATAGGTGGAATGAGGTCTGGCACTGGGTAGCCCCGATATGAAAATCCTCTAAAATGCAAACTAACGCAGGTCTGTTCTTTCTATCTGAAAGGTTATAGGCATCTTGAGCGACACTTAGATCAGTATCGTCTTAATATGGCAATATACAAAGCGAATAGGTAGGAGTAGGCACTTTAATATAGTGCTAAAGTAGATGATACTTAAAGTAGCGTAAAATTTAACATCTTAATTTCTAAAGTAACTTTGCTATAATTAATATTTAGAAATGCAATTTTTCTTCCTCTTATTTTACTAAGCTTGTTTGATTCCCTGCTAGTAACTCTAAATATGAGTTATATGCCTAGCTGTACCGGTGTGAATATTAAAGAGTATAGCATAAGGAAGCCTGTAGTGTAATCGTAAACTATTAGACATAGAGTTCGGGTTGAATCAAGACCTTAATATCTTCATTCTTATATGGGTGCTTTTAAATACTAGCTTGCATACCATCTTGTTGCTTATAGTTAAATCAGTAGGAGCCCAACCTCCCCCAACCTCTCCCTAACAGCGAATGCTGGTATGTATGCACCCCTATGGCTAGACAATACGCCCTCATGGCCAATAGAAGACAATACGCCCTGTGAACAAGCAATACGCCCCTATAACCAATAGAAGATAGCACATGCTAAAGTCAACAGGTAGCCAATAGTAGACACACGCCCTATGGCTGAATACTACACTCCTATAACTAATAAAAAGTCAGCACATATTATAGTCAACACATAGCCAATAGGCAATAACACGCCTAATAACTAAATAAAACGCCCCTATAGCTAATAGAATATAGCACGCCCTAGAGTCAACAGATAATAAGATAACAGCCAATAGGCAGGAACTTGAATAGTAGCTTATCATTGGCTTATAGATGTGAAGCATCTTATCCTCAAAATACGGAGATTTTATTTTCGGAGAACTGATGATCTAAACCCCATGTAGCGAGTCAGACGGCATGGAAGCGGCGCACAGCAACGATAGATATACAGACTGAAGACAGAAGAACAGTGTAAACGCCAGTCTGAAAAGCTCATGGCGCCCGAGGTGAATGTAATTCCTGATTCTGAAAATCCGTTGCAGTTATTTTTTTCCTCAATCTCTCATCTCAATCTCATAATGCATCTTACCATCAGACCTCAGCGTCAGTACAACAGTCCATTCGTTCGACGCTTAGCTAATATGTAGTCTATACTACAGTTGACTAGCCGTTGGGCAGGCATGCGACGATTGCATTCGAGCGGATCGTTTACCTATACCCAATATTCGGGATCCTGGCAGCTTTCCTAGGGGGCCTGTCCTTGCCCACAGGCTCGTTTCGAAAGGCATTGGCGAACCCCGTTAGGGGGCTGGTACGAGGATGCAGAAAGGATGTATCGAGAGACGCTGAAGTTGAGAGAAAAGGTGCTTGGCAAGGAGCATACCGTGTGAACTGTCCCGCTAATATTGGACGAAACCTTGAGTTCAGGGCAGCGCGGCGGGGAGTGGAATGGGAGTGATAGATACCTGGCGATAGCAAGAGACGATGCTTTGGGAGAAAAGGACATCTGGACGCCATTCATGAACATGAAGGCCTCAAAGAAGTACAGGGCTTCAAGTACATAACCTCTTCGTTTGCATTCACATGTTGTAACTTGACTAGAAATGGTAAGGTTTACTGTGGCTCTGCGAAGCGCCACTCTGAGCAGTAACACGGCTTACGCCCGGTGGTGGCACATCCAATGCGAAGTGGGTTGACATGGCTTCTCTCGGCTTCTACATCGCCCAACCACAACAGGTCTTCTTATTTTATGGTTTGCCCTTCACGTCAACATCTGTAATGATAGCCTTGGAGGCTGCAGGTTCAATTGGACTGCCTTTGAACTGCGAGCTTGAACTGCTGTTCAGATTTCAAGGTTCAGGCCGTAGATTCCGGCTATTCAATTGGTAGGTGTACTGCGCTACACGCGGATGTTGCTGACATGTGATGGCCTGGAGTGGGATGTTCCACTCACGCCGCATGATGCCCGTGACCGAAGGCATATGCAGCCGTCACGATACCGTCATATCACCTGACGAAAAAATATACCGCGTAGGACTGCTCGTTCACATTGACTTCCTGCCTTCAAAAAGAATGTCAGTTATAAGCCACAAAAGTTAGACTAGTCATAAACTCTCTGCTTCATTGAAGGACCATTGGATAGTTAAATAGGGTTAGAAGAGTATGTGGATTGCGATTAGTCTTAAACCAGGAACGCATCCCATTCCATATTCCGTGCTGGAGTAGACCAATATTGTAAGGCCTAGCTCATCCCTTTTCCTTGCGTTGATGCTTCATCAGTGGATATCGTTGAGACAGGGTTGAGGCTCTTGGGCAGGTGGACACAAATTGGGCGGAGGGTGTCGGGCTAGACAAGGTCCCGGCTTGGTTTACTCCACAGTACAAGTGGAGGAGTGGCTAAAAATAGCTTTACCTACCTAAAATATTCACGAGGAGGACGAAAAGTCTCAAACTAGCTCTTGCCTATTACGCAAGATTTACATAGGCTATTCATCACCATCGGCTATAGCCGCTTCTGGCCGCCAGTCTTTACAGTAGTTCTCATCCAACTAACACCGAACTACAGCCATTTATTCCAGCCATAACCAAGATCGGCTCCCTATCTTTAGCTTGACAAAGTCTTAGCGCATGGACATCGTGGCCCTTTAATGCTTTCATTGTCTTTTTCTTGCCCTCTCACGTAATGTATACTCAGCCCGTTTTTATTGAGGGGGTAATGGTATCGACGATTGCATATGTGGGAACGGGTCTAGAAGAGAAGCATTGGGAGCTATACATGTATCGGGCTGAGCCTAGGAGTTGAGTCATTTAATTTCAGCGACCTGACTCTCTACTTACTCATTTTGCAAGAATGAAAGTGTAGCTCAAAACGGCATGCGTGAGCCACTGAATCTCTCTGTGGAGATATCTAGACTGCTCCTGCATTCCGTTCGCACTTATGGATGACCTTGACAAAACGATGGAATCAGCTGACTATCCCAGCATCAATGCAGATACCTAGCCTCTGAATTCACATCCTAGCCATGGCTCTCCACCAAGCAACTCACTCGCCTCTCCAAATGGAGCAGAAACGTCTCACCACCCTCCTCAGGGGTGAGGTCGCCGACGAGCTTCGCGAACTGCCTCCGGACACTCAAAATGAGGTGGTGTCTTACCTACAGACCCACCTGGCGTAAAAGGGAAAGAAAGATAGGCTCGAAGCCCTTCTTCGACGTATTGCCATTGAATCACAAGAGATGCCTCCACACTGTACGATGACGCCATGTTGACGTAGCCAATGTGCAGTGGCTGTTAAGCTAACTACACCACTTAAATTCGTCGCACACCGTCTTAGACTTCCGCTCTCCTCCCCTTTCCCATTCATCCTTCCTCCTCCTTACTGCGAGCCTAGCCTGTAAGTTGGCCTACGATTGACTTATGACTCTGGTTTGGCTGTCCTAACAAATGCTGAAATGTCTAGAATCCTGGCCGTGCACTGCCGAGGATCTCCCATAATCCGAGGAACGTCCCTCCGAATCTTCGCCCGCCTCGATAGTCTACGAGCGCGATACAGAGTCCCAAGTATCAGGATATTGCTGCTGTTCTCATGATGTCGAAGAACCTGAGTCACGATGACTACACGGTGGGATGGATCTGCCCATTGGAGGTGGAGCAGATTGCTGCATTGGAGATGCTAGACGAAGAGCATCACCGTCTGCCACAGCCTCCAACGGATCGCAATGTGTATACTCTTGGAAGCATTGCGGGTCATAATGTCGTCATTGCCGGACTTCCCCAGGCGGACAACAAAGCCGCAGCTCAGGTTGTCACGCAGATGAGGACAACCTTCCCACATCTTAAGTTCGGCTTGTTGGTTGGTATTGGGGGCGGCGTGCCTGTAAAAACAGACAATGGAATGATCCGGCTTGGAGATGTCGTGGTTAGCAAACCAGCAGGCGGGCATTCCGGCGCTGTGCAATACGATCAGGGGAAAGCCAAAGACGGTCAGTTCGAACGTACCGGTGCTCTCGCCCCACCTCCGGACGTGCTCCTCAGTGCTGCGCAAGATCTGGCGGCGAAGCGAGCCCGCTTGCGTACAGATCCAGTTAAAGAGAACATCAAGAGGATTAACACGACCATTCAAGGACTTCGAAGGTTCAAATATCCAGGCCCAGAACTGGACCATCTATACGAAGCAGACTACATACATCCCAAGCCTGGGGTCTCCTGCGATGAGTGTGGATGCGACCCTTCGCGCCGGATCCAGCGAGCGGCTGATGAGGATGACGAACCGTCTGTGGTCATCTATAGAGGAAACATTGCATGTGGGGAACTGGTGGTCAAGAATGCTCTGTTAAGGGACCAACTAGCCAAAGAGTACGGATTGATATGTTTCGAGACAGAGGCAGCAGGTGCACTGGGTGCATTCCCATGCATTGTAATCCGTGGGATCTCGGACTATGCCGACTCGCATAAGAATGACCAATGGCACGGATATGCGGCGGCGGTGGCGGCAGCATATGGGAGACAGCTCTTCTTCCACATGCCAATTGATGAAGTGAAGCGGTGTGTACAGGTACCCGATAGTTAACTAGTTCGTCATAGCTGATGAAGTTTAGTTGTGTCTCTGTAGCTGCTGAACAGGACATTCATCATGTGAGGCGCCGACAAGATGACCATGACCGTCAAAAAATTCTGGACTGGCTCACACCAGTCGACTACGGCCATCAACAAAGCGACTACATCAACCGACGACAAGCAGGCACAGGCCAGTGGCTCCTAGACTCGACAGAGTTCCAGACGTGGTTGGAGACCGACAAACAGACCATGTTCTGTCCAGGCATACCAGGGGCAGGAAAAACAATCCTCACATCGATTGTGATCGACAACCTGACTACCCGCTTCGGAAATGACGAGAATATTTGTGTCGCATACCTTTATTGCAACTTCCGGCGGAAAGACGACCAGAAAGCTCAAGACCTCCTAGCGAGTTTGTTGAAGCAGCTGGTTCAAAGCAGACCTTCTCTGCCAGAGACCGTGAAATCTCTGCATGGCTGGCACAAGGACAAGCGGACGCAACCGTCGTTCAATGAAATCTTGACAACCCTTCAGTCTGTGGCTGCTCTGTATTCGCGGGTCTTCATTATCGTCGACGCACTTGACGAATGTCAAGTATCCGATGGGTGCCGGGAGAGTTTCCTGAGAGAGCTCTTCAAACTCCGGGACAAATGTAGAGCAAACCTCTTTGCGACTTCGAGATTCATTCCAGAGATCACGGATAGGTTTGAACGGAGCACATCCCTGAAGATCCAAGCAAGTAGTGAAGATGTACAGAGATACCTGGATGGCCACATGTTCCGACTGCCGGGCTTCGTCCGTCGTAGTCCAGAACTGCAAGAGGAAATCAAGACTGCAATCATTAAGGCCGTCGACGGAATGTATGGATATCTCGATTCCGTTTTCAATTACACCATGGTGCTAACTTGCTTTTAGGTTTCTTCTTGCAGAACTTCACCTGGGCTCATTAGTTGGAGAGCGGTCACCTTGGTATATTCGAAAAGCTCTGAACACCCTGCCGACTGGGTCTGATGCATATGACCGTGCGTATATGGAAGCTATGGAGCGAATCCAAGGTCAGGTCAGGGGCCAAAAAGATCTTGCTGAGGACGTGCTATCATGGATAACTTGCGCAAAGAGACCGTTGACGACGTCCGAACTCCGGCATGGTCTTGCAGTTGAGTCAGGTGATTCGGAATTCAATGAAGAGAAGCTCTCTGAAGTCGAGGATATTATCTCCGTTTGCGCTGGATTAGTCACGGTCGACGAAGAAAGCGGCATCATACGGTTAGTTCACTACACGACACAAGAATACTTCGAGCGAACGCAGAAGAGATGGTTTCCGAATGCAGAGGCCGATATCACAAAAATCTGCCTTACCTACCTCTCATTCAATGTCTTTGAGCAAGACCTGTATGCGAAACATTTCAGGTTTGAGTATTACCTGAGATCTTATGAACTCTATGAGTATGCTGCACAAAATTGGGGGCATCATGCTCGAGAATCTTTGACTTTATGCCCGGAAGTTGTGGATTTCCTCGATTCCCAGGTCAAGGTAGAGGCGTCCATCCGAGCTCTATTTACTGGTAAGAGTTCTCGGTGGAACGCCCAAGAATTTCCGAGGCAATGGACAGGGCTTCACCTGGCGGCATACTTCGGGCTGGGGAAAGCAGCGAACGCCTTGCTCGACCTCAAGTATGATCCGAATTTGAGAGATACTGATCAGGTGGGGCACTCAAGGACTAGAATGGACTATGGCCGAACGCCGGTGTCGTATGCCGCCGAGAGAGGACATGAGGCTACTGTGCAGCTACTACTCAACTGGCATGCCGATATTGAGTCTAAGAGCAACTCAGGCCGGACACCGCTATCGTATGCCGCCGAGAGAGGGCATGAGGCTATCGTGCAGTTACTACGCAACTGGCATGCCGACATCGAATCTAAGGACGACTTTGGCCGGACGGCGCTGTCGTATGCCGCCGATAGAGGACATGAGGCTACTGTGCAGCTACTGCTCAACTGGCATGCCGATATTGAGTCTAAGGACAACTCAGGCCGGACGGCGCTATCGTATGCCGCTGAGAGAGAGAGTGAGGCTATCGTGCAGCTACTACTCAACTGGCATGCCGATATTGAGTCTAAGGACGACTCAGGCTGGACGGCGCTATTGTATGCCGCCAGTAGAGGATATGAGGCTGCTGTGCAGCTACTACTCGACCGACACGCCGATATCGAGTCTAAGGACAACTCAGGCCGGACACCGCTATCGTATGCCGCCGAGAAAGGGCATGAGGCTATCGTGCAGCTACTACTCAACCGACACGCCGATATTGAGTCTAAGGACAACTCAGGCCGGACGGCGCTATCGTATGCCGCTGAGAGAGAGAGTGAGGCTATCGTGCAGCTACTACTCGACCGACACGCCGATATCGAGGCTAAGGACGACTCAGGCCGGACGGCGCTATCGTATGCCGCCGAGATAGGAAGTGAGGTTATCGTGCAGCTACTACTCGACCGACACGCCGACATTGAGTCCAAGGACAACTCAGGCCGGACACCGCTATCGTATGCCGCCGAGAGATGGCGTGAGGCTATCGTGCAGCTACTACTCGACCGACACGCCGATATCGAGTCTAAGGACGACTCAGGCCGGACGGCGCTATCGTATGCCGCCGGTAGAGGATATGAGGCTACTGTGCAGCTACTACTCAACTGGCATGCCGATATTGAGTCTAAGGACAACTCAGGCCGGACGGCGCTATCGTATGCCGCCGGTAGAGGATATGATGCTGCTGGGCAACTACTACTCAACTGGCAGGCTATCGTGCAGCTACTACTCGACCGACACGCCGATATCGAGTCTAAGGATGACTCAGGCCGGACGGCGCTATCGTATGCCGCTGAGAGAGAGAGTGAGGCTATCGTGCAGCTACTACTCGACCGACACGCCGATATCGAGTCTAAGGACAACTCAGGCCGGACACCGCTATCGTATGCCGCCGAGAAAGGGCATGAGGCTATCGTGCAGCTGCTGCTTGCGACCAAAGGAATCGATGTTGACTCAGGAGATCAGTATGGTCGGACGCCTTTGACCTACGCAATGAAAAACGCTTATGGAACAGGGGAGATTGTGCTAATGCTCGCCCTAGGAGAAGTCGACGTTGATATAAACCGCAAAGAGTGTTTGAGAGTATTATGCGCAACAACTGAAGATTTTCGAAAGATATGTGAGCGGCTGCGGACGGCCGACAGGGAACAAGAGTTTGCAAGATTTGAGCAATTGAAACCAAAACTCGGCAGATTCCGGCTGGCAAAACAAGGATGGATTTATATCCACGTAAAGGGTTGTGTCGCAAGTCAGGCATGATCTCAACGAGCCTCAGGAAACAACGGCACTTAGTAATCAAACTGTGTTGTTGCATCTAGCAGATGGATAGGATCATATGTGTGAGAAGCTCTTGCTATTCTTCCTATCTAATTGAGGTCTGCTAGGTCAGTCTTATAGATGAAGATGACCTCGGGTGACCTCGGACGGCCGAGAGGCTCCGGATGGTCCGGAGTCTTTGGCTTTAGCTAGCTATAGGAAAAATCAAGGAAAGCTAGGACTATCATGAGATCGGTGACGAGGCCGATGACGAGGCAGGTGGCGATGGACGCCTATGATAAAAGAAGAAAGCTTCAATAGCATGATACATCCGGAATCCGATATCCCGATATATGTGACATGTGTGCTTCAAGTAAAACCTGTGGGATGGAGTACCCCGCACTTTAGACATCAATCAATCAACACACTGCTGCTGCTCATTATTGAATCTTTGATCCTTTTAGCACGCTCAGTGCGACAGGTTGATTCAATTTAGACAAAATACTCATTTCTTCTACTCTATGATTTAAGTCAGGAACGGGCCCTGTTCCCGATTTTCATCCAATCACAGCTCTAAGATGTCTACCCCTCTTCGCCAACTTCGAACAGGCCCCGTTCCCAGAAAGTTCGCGTTTCCCAGAACGCGGAACGGGCCCAATTCCCAAGCTATCACTACCATCAAGATAGTCCGAGCAATAACCTTGAAGATACCGTCGATTGTGTTTATCTGCTCTATGTCAGTTTATTTTCTATCTGATGGGATAATTCCCATGTGCCTACCTTCCTTGACTTGTTCGGAGTCACGCTGATGCGTTTCTTGAAAGAGTTCGTTGTCATGCCTTCACTAGGACGGCAGCGGTCGTGGGACAGAAGCGGTTCAAGGACGGAGGTGATCTTGGGAAGTGGAAGGTCTTGACACGGACGCGGTTATAGGACTGAGGCCGTCCTGGACCGTTGGCTGTGGGACGGATTTCGCTCTACGAAAATATGAGGTAAGGTAGGGGACAAGGGCGGTTGGGACGGAAGTGTTTTTAGGACAGAGGCTGTTCCGGGGCTATTGTCCCAAGATGGTAGCCGGTCTAGGATATTGTCTGTTGTTGGAAAGCAGTTGTTGCAGGACGTTTCTAATAACGCTAGTACTAGGACTTTGACCTTTCTAGACTTAGGACGCTAATGGTCGTGGGATAGATGTGGGCTTGTGAACGATATACTGGGCTCTTATTGGGAAATCTTTGAGTGTTAAAAATAGTATTAGCAGGATTGCTGTCGTAAAAATCTTTTTACTAATATCTCATTCCAGCTTAGCTTTTTCTCAATCCACGCCGCTCTATTTCCGGTGTATAAAGTGGGATGTACAGCGGGAAGGTATGCAAAGGATTAGACAGGCAAAGATGGGAAACCTCTTGTTCTTTTTAGGAGGGAAGGCGGCATGGGATGACTAATAATGAGCACTTAGCCTTCAGGCAGTACGGGCGGCGATTAAGTTCGCCATGGATACAAGGAGACTTGATGTAAACCAGACTGAATAACATACTAACCAACCAAATTAGCGGCCAAACCTGACGATACTAATACCAACTAGCCTCAAGTTGGCAGACCATGCGTCAGCTGAGAATAGGATGCTGAATACTTGGAGAGATTGGCCTTTAAGTAGGCCTGTTACACTGTAAATAGCCTAGCGCACCTGGCTCTATGAGGTTAGTCCGCCCGGGCGGAATAACTTTTATTCATTCATTCTAGCGGATCAGCTGATTTCCGGCACGCGGGGAAGGCGGGCATTTTGACTCGTCAGGCGCTCGGACCTGGTCTTCATCAACAATGGTCTGCTCCGGTCTAGTTGAAGCCTGATGCAACTCAGAACCCCTCCTCTTTAACCCACCGAGATTTGGTAAGCTCGTGACTAGGAACATCCTTGCTGTCATCGGTGGCAAACAGTCATATATGCCCCTCGGCTTTGTCGGTCCTTGCCTACTTGGCTCCTACCAAGCCTGCCTCTTGCTAACTTGCCCGTGATGACAATTACTCGCTTCAACAGTACACAGATCACGTGGCAATGCGAAGTGGATGAGCGAGACCAAAGTGTCGATTCAGTGCTTATGTACATCTTCCGTATGAGCTCGGTCCTGTTGCGGCGCGGTTCCAAGCCTGGACAGAATCATCGTGAAGTAAATCAAGGGCCCCATGCGTTCGGCGGCGTTCAAGTCGACTTGACTGGGCCGCTAGCTGCCAAGCGAGGAATGACAGGTGGTCGTGGCGCGGTGGCTGGCGACGAGGCCCAGCCCCGCCAGATGTACCTTTGTGATGCTCTTGACGGAGATGCCTTATCTCAGTTACAGTTTCAGCGATGATTTCTTCATTTCTCTCTTGGGTAGCTACCAAATGTAGTTGTTGCAGCCTTGGCATCTTTCTGAGCAGCTGTTTGATGCGTCTCTGCTTGAGACTGATGTTTTCGCAGATTTTGCAAGCTGTAAGAAGACGATGCATTTTAAAGATAAGCTTTATACTGCATATCTCTCCCAGATGATGCTCCTTAGGATAATGCTCCCAGAACCGCCCCCACCTCCAGTACCCACAAGTCTAGAGAGATTACTCGTAGAAGTATATAGAGAAAAAGAAATAGAAATATTGTACGTCTTTCCAATTCTACAAAATCACTATGCAGTTACTTCTATAAGATGTTTTGATATATGGGGGATATAGTTATAATATGCAATTCATAGCTGGTTCACAATGCCATGGCCTATGAGGGGAACTTGTATCCTAGAACTTATGCATAGACCTTCGTATAGGGCATGCTGTCTTCTATTGGTCAGAGGGGCGTGTTGTCATCACCACAGGGTGTGCCTTCATCACAAGGCATGAAGTCTTCATCACAGGGGGTGTTTTCTGCTATTGGTAATAGGGGCGTGCTCTCTTTACCACAGGGGGTGTTTTCTGCTATTGACCGTGGCGTGTGTTGTCTCCTATTGGCTATAGAGGCGTGTTTTCTTCACTACCAGGCGTATTGTCTGCTATTGATTATAGGAGTGTAGTAACTTAACATAGGGCGTGTTATTAGAGAATGCCACTAGGCAAAGTAGCCTGAGGTACTGTTATTAAGCCCTGGCCCTTCTGTGTCTTGCTGAGAAGATATATAACCCGCACCCGATCCAGTTGAGGACAGTATTAAGCGTGAAATAGAAGGCAGGAAGCTGGATCTATATACCTAAGGGTATGGTGCTCGCTTTCTTTAACTAAGAAAACAGAAAACATAACTCTAGTACCGCTGCGGAATATATATAAGAAATCAAGATATTATATGCCTATCTTTCTTCTACATCCCCTTCCCCGTACCCAGTTAATTATAATTAAATACTATTATAAGTATCTATATACTATATATAAGCAACTAAATAGTATTACTTTAAGTATTATAATAACAAACTCCTTTACTTAGGCTTAGATTCCTAAGATCTAAACTCTCAGTCTACCTCCTATAATATAGGCGATAGTATAGAGGCAGATGATGCTAACTGCCCTTCTGAAGACTATTATAGTGTTATTGAAGTAGGAGTTGCAATTAATATTAATACTAATACTAATATTGTAATCTCGTCTGGAAGTTGCATGAGGGCCGATAGGAATGAGAGAAGAAAAAGAAGGGAACGCTATGCTAAGCATAGGAGAGCAAAAGACGAACGGATAAGAGAGAAGCGTTGTGGATAGATTGGCCCAGCTGAGCAGCTATGGGCCAAGACGAAGCCCCAGGGTCACTGTTCGCCTTCTCTAAGCACATGACGGACTATTTCCTATAATAACTGCGCCCAACCTTGGCCGGAGATTCCTATGGGCAGTTCTCACAATCGCCGCCAAAAATGTCCTGCCTGTGCTGGCGCTTCAAACGGGAGTTAGGTAATTCATCCATGTGCCATATGTGTCGTCGATTACTGATCAAGTTAGAGTGACTGGGACAGGGGGGAGTACATGATAGGTTTATGAAGTGAGAGTGGTCTTGATTAGCTATGTACTGTACTACTTTGTCTTAAAAGTCAATCTGTTCAAATCATCTCCAATCCATATTGGTCCGCCAGTTGCTTTAAGTGGCTTTCAGTTAGCAGACTAAAAAGGACACATCCTAAACTAGAGTCAGCCTCCTGAAGATTACGATTTCCCTGGAGATACTCACCATATTTCGCTGTTCGCTATGCTCTCCACTGAGTAGCCAAATATTGTAGAGTGTCCTTTGTTGGTGTGTGCTGGGGCGTCGACATATCCGTTTGTTTCTTGATCGACTCAACATTCTGAAGCATTTCGGTGGTTGAGGCAAACTTCCCAAGCCATGCTTTCTTGATGATTACGCCAATATCTGGGTGTTTCATTTCGACCTGTGGCAAGAGTACAGTACCGGCATTCCCAATAGATAGATCAGGCTTAACTCCTGTTTCTAGATGAAACATCAGTGACTCTAGGGCGAACCTATCTGTAGCATCTGATACTGTCTCATCTAGCCCATTGAGTGGAACTGGGCAGTCTAGGGTGGGTTGAGCTAGGTTCGGTTGGCCAAACATAGCGGAGGCGCTGAAGTCGCAGACGATAGCTTGACCATGAACATCGAAGAGCACATTCTCCATGCGTAGGTCTGAATGGGCGATTCCCAGTCCATGCAGATGATCCAGTCCTCGCAAGACGTCACGGTATAGAGAAATGCGTTGTGACCGTCCAGCTTGGCTGAGCTCTGGCCTGGAGTTGTACCGGCGGAGATAGATGCCCTCTGCATGAACTGTGCTGATAGGCTCTGCAAGGTTAGGATGTGGATTCTGTTCGAGCAACTGACAAATCTTCCTTTCGTTGCTAATGAGCTCGAAGTGGAAGATAGATTCCGAAACGTAGTGCCATCTATCGAGGGGAGTGGTATCGTCATTGGGGGGTTTGTACACCCTTCCCGATTTGAGCACGATGTTTTCGTCGATCTCGTAAACTTGTCCAGATGCTCCTACACCAATCATTTTCAATCCGTCCTGTTCCTGAACTGGGAGAGTGAATCCCATGGTGATCGTCGTGCTGTATTGGATTGAGTTATGAGAGCTGAGCCGATCGCGAAGCGCGATGATAGCATTGCTGAGGCACGTGGGATCCGCATGTCTGCCGAGTAGTTTAAATTACAGTGTTTCTTTGAGGTTTTCCCAAAGAATCTGTAGAATCCAAGTGTCGATCGAGGGAAGAAAGACTTAACAACTTCCGAAACATGCTTATATGTGTCAGAGACAGGTATCATGTACATTATTGACTCGCTCACTGGATTCTTGAATACCGCCGCTCTGCATAGGCCCATGCCCTCTTCCTTCTGTGTCGGATAATTGTTTTTGATGATGCTGTCGACTAGTTTCCCGATGCCTGCATCATTTTGCACCTAGAATCCTTTCTGTGATATTTCCTCCTGTATGCTGTTTATTGAAGTTGAGGCTATGATTTGAGATATTTGTTGTGACTAGATGCGGCAGAAGAAGAGTGTTTGATGGCCATGGTTTGGCGAAATTATGACGTTCGTGCCCAAGCAAAACCGGTTGGGCTAACGTGATTAATTCACGTGATACACGTATCTGTACGAGACTGTGATGAGTCAGCTAAACATGTGGGTTCTTAACTCGTCAGTGGCCTGGACACAAGGTTCAAACAGCACGGGGTAAGCGGACAACCGAGGTTCGCTAGCCTGTGAGCCGTGGGTAGTAAACTCTTGGCTGTCGGGCGCGCACATTAGTTTCGGTTGCCTAATCGCACACTATATAAGACAGGCTGCATGCCACCACACCGGGACATAGCCAGCCGCTGGCTACTTGCTCGGTCGTCAAGGCAAACTCTGTCGCATTGGATCAGTCGAGCGAGCTAGCCTGACCATCACTGAGCAGTTCCAGAAACAACCTGAAGTTCTTCCCACAGCTCGTCTCTGGCGCATTCCTCCCTCCCGGAGTGGTGCTTCTCGACCTGCTCCTCCACCTCCTAGTGCTCCTCCCCACCTTCTTGCAACTGGTGCTCCTTGGCTTGGTTTACCTTGGGCTGGTGCTACTTGGTCTGGTGCTCTTCAGTCAACTCCCCACCCGAACAAGTATCGCCAGTCGAGCAATCCCGAGATGAGCTCTAGCATCTTTATCCCCGAGCCGATTCACCTGAGAAGACTTCAAAAGTTCCAACGTGCGGATGATCATGCGACTAAGGAGAGCCGAGTTACTGCATCCGTGATGCCCATGATCGAAGGAGATCCTGGAGACACCAAATGTGTCGCCAGCGACATACCTTTTACGAACCTCGATCACTTAACAGATGGATCACTCGACACCCATGACTCTTATTCAACGGTGACTTTTGCAGGCACGAGACAAGTCTTAAAGTATTGGTAGAGACTAAGACCAGGATTTACCCATCCTCTGGTACACAATCAATTCAATATTTGTCGTAGCGGCGGGGTAGCGAAGGTGATTCAATAGATTCGCTGTCCCTTAGCAAGTCCGTCATCAGGCCTTTGTATCTGGCAAGTAGCTGTTGTTGCTTATGGTACTTCCGCCTCAGTTCGCAGTACTCCCGCTTTTACCTTCCGCTGAGCCTTTTTGCGACCATTGTCTCATATCTTTCTTTTTTTGCGAGCTGCATTATCTCATATCTTTCCTCCTTGAGTTTGGAGATTTCATCTCTGAGATCCTGTATTTCGTTCCAAGGCGTCTTGCCAACCTCTACCGACGGGCGTACCGCCTGAAAGGACATTCCCACTCCTTTACAAAGCTCCATAAGCGGTCCGACAGAGAGCTTACTGAGATGTTTCTCGAAAAGATACTCCTTCTCGGAACTCCACTTCCATCAATAGGGATCTTCCTCGCTCGGTATCAGGCGGACATCTGCTGGGTCTATTGTAAGGTCCAAGCTATCATCTGATGAGTTTAGCATTGTTCTGTGTAGTTCTGCGTGGACTCATACTGATATGCTCCGCCAGCCGCTGCCGACACTTGGTCCTCTATTGACTTCGATCGACGTTGCTAGGCTTAGATATGTTATTAGTAACATTCTACAACAGACGCCTCATCTTTAAGGGTAGAAATCAACCTTTAAACATTTCCCATTGTCAAACCAAGTTCTATTTTCTTGATTAAGATCTGTGGTTTTGTTGGGCGCTTACAGTGGATGGCGAGTAAAAGACCAATCCTTACCTTCCAGAGGTCCCCAGGACGGCACCCTGTCTCTCCTCTATCCCAGAATGATTGGATTGAGATCGACAAGGGGAGCCTGCAACCACGGACACCCCACGACATAAACTTCAGGCTGAAGGGCTACTAACACTAATTGGAGGGACGATCAAACAGGATGCGAGGGACGAAGCAGACCCACTGTCTTAACCAGACTATCGTGGTCGAGTGATCACCTGACTGAGGGGGTGAAGGCATGGTTAAGATGGAAATCTTCTGCGGGACGCCCTCTGTGTAGAACGCAGACTTGTAAAAATTCTTTTTTTTTTAACTCCCTCCTCCAAAGCGACTTGAAGGCAAACTTGGTGCCCCACCGCCAATGCCGACCATCAGGCCGATCCTGATGTTAGGAAAGCTGCGTGACAGATCTTTGGCGACGCCCGCCGCAGCCTTGGCATTTACCCCCTGCCTGCGAGTCCCCCGAATCCATAGCCGCCCAAGTTCGCTGACAGCCTGATCCCGTTGCTTCCCTCTTGCCAACCTCTCCCAGGACGGCTCTCTGAAGCACCAATTGGGAATTTATCCCAGATATCAGCCATACTGAAGCGATCCGTGATGGCAAGTACACAATTATAAGCATCATGGACCCCGAGGATATTGCGGAGATACAAGAGGAGGACCAGCACTTGGCTACACATTTAGATGGTTTAGTTGAGGAATTTACTTTGGTTGGGTAATAGGGTAGGGCAGGCTGGCTTGTCGTTAACAGGGCAATTCTAAAAGTTTATCAGTGATAAGTGTCGGATCGCGTACGACACATTCAATCGAAGGGATTAAGGCTCAATAGAGTGTGGAGCTCCAAAAATCATCATTCTATTGATCTAGGATCCTCGCCACCCCCTCTTTTCTCGAGAGAGGTTTTATGTCATCTGACACCCCTCTGACTAAGGTCAGGATATCGATCTATCAGAGGTTTCGTAATACAGGGTCACAATCCAACAATAAGATAATGACGGATCCGTTACGGTCAATTCGATCAAATAGATAGGGATCAATACAGTGATGATGATGTTGATGATTGCTTTTTTCGGTCATCCGGACCGGCCGGAAGAGGGGTTATCAGACCCCCCTTCTGACTAAGGTCAGGATATCAATCTATCAGAGGTTTCGTAATACAGGGTCACCTTCCAACAGATAAGAGAACTGTTGAATGATGACCCTGTATAACGAAACCTCGGATAGATTGATATCCTGACCTTAGTCAGAAGGGGGGGTATGAAAACCCCTCTTCCGGCTGATCCGAATGACGAGATGGACGAATCATCAATATCATCAACATCATCATCACTGCATTGATCCTTATCCATCGATTGAATTGACCGTAACGGATCCATCAAGAACTGCTGAATGCGTGATGCAGTTATCCGTCATAGGATTTAGACCGTAGGGCACACGCCACGTGTCTAGCAAAAAAAAAAGTGAGGCGGAAGGCGCGACACGCGTACTCAATCATCCAAGCATCTGGACCTAAAGCGTGAGGCTTTTTTCAACAAGCGAAATGAACAATATTGTGAACACTCAACGGTGCAGCCATGACGACTTCTTGGATGGGGTGGGAGCACCGCCGCGAAAGAAATGTATGGTTTCATTCCGTGCACTTCCTAAGTCCGGCACAGTTCTAATAGTGACTTGAACAGTGAACCACTCGCCGTCCAAGTACTTCGAAGCCCAGTTCTGGGACTTGGAAGAAAGTCCTCTCCCTGAACTTGAGGATGTGCTTAAGAAAAACTTCCCAACTTTAGGCGAGGCACGTGTCGTTGTGTCCAGTCGTACTAGAACTGTTGAATGTCGAGTTCTGCTTGTTCTGAGCAAGCCACGACGGATGAGGTATTGTGATTTAGCTATTGTTATTGACGGTATACATCGGGTAGAACCGTGGAGCATCGATGCAGTAGAGACGCTAGTGGGAAATAACGAACGCTACGATGATGGAGTGGAGGGGCTGGTCGTAGTCAAGCCTTAATGGCTCAAGCACAGTTAGCTTTCTTGCGAAATAGTTTCACCACTGATAGCAGAGTCGGAAGATACGCTATCAAGGGCGAGAACCAAGACGAAGTCGAGCATTTGTTCTCCACAGAACTTCCTGGAATATTTGTGAGAGGAAGGAACGGTGACGCGATGCGGGCCGTGGTGACTAGTTCCCTCTTGACACAGCGATGTTGTGCCCACGCCAGCTTGAGAAGCGGACCGTGGACATCCAAATTCCATCCAGCTTCAGATGGGCTGAGGCGCAGACAATCGCGAGCTTCGGCTTTGATGTCTTGAAGTGCCTGTAGTTTGGCCAAGGCAGAAGACCGAGACACATGCTCGTCCCCCTCCTGCACCTCATCCTCCTCACTTGTATGTTCGATTTCGGCCGATAGCTTTCAAGATCTTGTGATGTAGGCAGCCCGTATAAGAAGCTTGGTTATCTTATCGGCACACTCTTGCGTGCTGAACACTTCGTTTAGTAGCCAGGACGAGTCCCGGGCTAAGCGACCCGTCCCGTGCCCACTTATCCGGGACAGGCCTTGACAATCGCCCCGCGCGTCAAACTCCAGTCGCCCACGGATCAGTGAGCGACCTAACGCGTCCACGACGCGCTATGCCCGATAGCAGCGCTAGGAGACCGCTGACCGCGGATATCGACGGGAGCAAGCTTCCATACAACAGATTCTTGTGCTCATTTTCACTATCAGCCGTTGCCTCTCTCTCAACATAGCGATGTAGTGTGTCGGGCCAATCATTGCAAAATGCACGAAAGCGCTTCTGCCTCCTCAGCGGGAGTCGAAGCCGCAACTCAGCCACGCTGTAGCCTCGTTGGGCACCCACCTTAGTACTGTTGCTAGATCCCCTCCCTTATCATCTCGGGCTGTTCAAGCGCGAACTAGACTCCCTTGAAACTACTTCCCCGACTATTAGTGTATTATTGCATGCTATGGCAGATGCTATGGGCCTTGCTGTAAGTATTATTATAATTATCGATCTATCTGCTAAAGTTGCCGTTCTTTACCTCTAGTATTCTACTGCTATTAAGAATGCTAGAATTAATATTATATGCCTCTAAAGCCAGTTAGATAACCTAGATATAACCCTCTAGGATATTTAATATCTTCTTAATAACTAGAATAATTAAGTACTTGTAATATTGTAAAAATTAGTTAATTTTATTAATAGCTATATATTAGAGCTAGTCTAGTTATAAAGTAGGCTAGATTTAAATAAGGCCTGGAAGGTAATATATTATTTTGAATTTTATGCTTTTAAATAGCTTTTTAATAATAAGAAGGTTAGTAATATTATTTCTAACTTAAAATACTATAAATAGACTATTACTCTAGGTCTGTAAATTAACTAAATATAAGTTAGCAAATTATCTAGATATATTAAGTATAATAAAATAGGCTAATAAGATTATTTTTATAGTATAATTCTACTTAATATATAGTAGAAGATTAAAGGTATCTCATTCTAACTTAAAGAAGATATATTAATAGCTTATAAGCCCTGCTTTAGCCTACTATTTAACTCAATTCTAACTTTATTAATTAACCTAATATTATATATAAATAAGAGAGTAATATATAGGCCCTATTAGTTATATAGCTCTTATAGGTATAAGTAGATTTAGGTATAAGCTAGAGTAGCTAGTAAGCTTATATAGAGTATTATACTAACTGGCTATAGTAAATTGCAGGTTGCTATTCAATTTACATATTACATCCATAACATAATACCACAAACCAGTATCTTCTAGATATATATAAGTTTAAAGCTAAGATTTTAAGAAGTATACTAGTCTATTACAGATAATTTATAACTACCTAGACGAAATAATCTCAGTATTAACATACTCAGGCTAGTTTGCAACTAGTTGTAGAGAGAGAAAGCTAGCTTATAATTAATAGTCTTAGATAATATTAATAATATTAACCTCTTCTACCCCAGCCCAGTACTGGAAGAAATAGGATAATTTGCTATCTAGCAGATAAGAACCCTACTATACTAAGTATATAGCAGCTACTTACAGTCTTCCTATCGAAATACTGCAATAAAATCATCCTTGTTATATTATGCAGTATAGATACTACTATAAAGCTAGCAGGTAGCTATAAGGCTGTCTATTGGATTTTAACTATAAATGACGCCTAAGCTCTTTAGCTTTTCTATAATAAGCTGCAGGGAGATTTTAATAAGAATGCTGCTGCTACTCTTTTTTATACTCTAGATTATATTCTATTAGCCATTACCCAAGCAGCAGTATATATCACCTATTACGCCCTTTATATATCAATAAAAATATACCTAGATACCTTTTAGAAAAGTAATAAGAAGAAGAATAGCCTTTTTAATAGTAATATAGGGGATCTTTAATAGGATAAGACTATCTCTAACTCTATGGTTACGACGTAGCAAGTAACCCTTAAACAGATACACTATAAGAAACTATCTGCAGCTAACTTACTCTTACTTATGAGCTTCTTCAATCTGTAAGATATTCTCGAGTTTATATTTTATAACTATAAGAGCAATCTGGAGGATAATATGGATAGAGATGAAGATAGTAATAAATTTGAGGATAATTTAGATATCCTTCATAGCTACTCGCTTATATCCGTGACAGCAATGTAGGATATATGCGAGATGTATTCTTTTATGTAGTTTTATATACGAGCTTAGCTATCTGTAGTTAATAATATAGAATAATAGAGATAGGTATTTTTATAGGCTATATTAAGATATTTCCTAAATAGTATATTCAAGACCTAGCCTATCTATTAGATATTACTTTCTTATATTAAGTTAATATTAGAGGAGGAGCTACTAAATATAGACCTATAGAAGTAGGCCTATTTGTTGATAAATTGTATACGGTATATACTTACTATAGGTAATTACAGGGCGGCAGAAAAGTTAGGCAAAAAAGCAGTTAAAATGAGGGCTAGTATGCTGGGAGAGGAGTATCCCTCGACGCTGACCAGCATAAACAACCTGGTGTTAATATATAGGAAGTAAGGGCGATGGAAGGAGGCGGAAGAGCTACAGGTGCGAGTAATGGAGACGACGAAGACGGTGCTGGGAGAGGACTATCCCTTGACGCTGAATAGCATAGCCAACCTGGCAGCGACATATAGGAACCAAGGTCGATAGAAGGAGGCGGAAGAGCTAGAGTTGCGAGTGATGGAGATGAGGAAGAATGTTCTTGGAGAGCAGCATCCCTTGATGCTGACTAGTATGGCTAACCTAGCGGCAATGTATAGGAATTAAGGGAGGTGGGAGGAGGTAGAAGAGCTGGAGTTGTGCGTAATAGAGATGAGGAAGAATATTCTTGGAGAGGAGTATCCCTATATGCTAAGCAGTATGAGCAACCTGGCGTCGATATACAGGAACTAAAGGTAATGGAAGGAGGCGGAAGAGCTATTTATGCAAGTAATAGAAATAAGGAAGATAGTACTGGGAGAGTAGCATTCTAATATGCTGACCAGCATGGCCAACCTGGTATGGATATATAAGAACCAAGGCCAGTAGAAGAAGGCTAAAGAGCTATTTGTATAAGTAATAGAAATAAGGAAGATAGTACTAGAAGAGGAGCATCCCTTAATATTAACTAGTATAGGTAACCTAGTAGCAATATATAGAAACTAAGGCCGGTAGAAGGAGGTAGAAGAGCTAGAAGTATAAGTAATAGAGATAATAAAGATAGTACTAGAAGAGGAGTATTTCTTAATGCTAATTAGTATAGCTAATCTGGCATTAATATATAAGAACTAAGAGCAATAGAAGGAGGCTAAAGAGCTATAAGTATAAGTAATAAAGATAATAAAGATAGTACTGGAAGAGCAGCATCCCAATATGCTAACTAGTATAGCCAACCTAGCGTCGATATACAAGAACTAAGGACAATAAAAGGAGGCCGAAGAGCTACAAGTGCAAGTAATGGAGATGATAAAGATAGTACTGAAAGAGGAGCATCCCGATATGCTGACCAGTATAAACAACCTAGCCTTTATCTGGAAAGACTAAGGCCGCTCTAGAGATGCTCTTGCTCTGATGCGAAACTGCGTTGTCCTA